GGGGGGGGGGGGGGGGGGGGGCAGTGTGCACAGGGTGTTGAATACCAAGAAAGAAAAGTTTCAAGAAGGAGGATGTGATCAGCTTAATGGGACTAACAAAACTTTAAGAAAGAAGAGGAGAGAGTAGTATTAATTGGTTTGGTGGATATCATGGTTTTGTTAACCCATTAAGTAAAATTCTTTACCAAAAATGAACCTCTTGGATTTAGTTTAATTTTTAAATGAGTTTATTTCATAGGAATCTGGCTTTATAGAGAAATTTCATTTTATTGAAGTATTCATTCTACCATCTTTTGAGCTGTGTGACTTTGGGAACTTTTGGGGTAGTTTTAAAATTATATGAAGTATTATTTGTAAAGTGCTTGGCATAGTGCCTGGCATGTAATAATTGCTTAATGAAAAGTGGTGTTGGAGTTTTGAGAAGGTCACTAAATTACACCTATTTTTTTCTTGCTCAAGTTCTTACCAATGGAGAGACAAATTTGGGAGTCAGCTAGGGATTGAAATGTTAGCTTTATTATCAAGCAGAGTAGGTGGGAGAATATAGCTGAGTTCTACACCTTTAAATTAGAGACTTACCCACCCAGTTACAGGCAACACTGGCCAATCTCCCACCTTGGGAGCCTACCCTGTAAGTACATGGGTGAGCAGAGCCCAGTCTGTGTGTGTTGAGTCCCGGAGGAAAGTAGGCAAATCCCAGAGGAAAGAAGGGAACAACAGAGCCACACATTGCCAGGGGCTTCTTGCACACTCAGACTGTACAAACCATTCCTCCTGGATGGGGGAGGAATGAATGAGGTGTTAGAGGCCTACGAGGCTCTGTGGTGACTGTCACTCTGGGAGTTATCAGTGGCATGAAGCTTTCTTCTCCTGGACCCCAGGAGAGCACCTTACCATCATTCTTTTCTAATATGAGCTGCCATCAAAGGAAACTTGTTGACTACTTTTTACAGATTCATGAGATTCATATATTCTGTTTCTGTGCTCTTATTTTGATATCATTTAGAAAGAAGTTAAGCACTCAGTTCTAAAACATTTTGAACCTTTTATAATTCAGAAAATGTTATCAGCCATTTTTCATAAATATACTTGTTGGTAATGTATATTTTGGCTACTTATGAAAAGGATTTGAGTCAAGTTATACATACAGTCCACATAAAACAGGAAAACTTAAAAATAAAATAATGATTTTTTAAAAAAAGATTATCAGGCCGGCCCGTGGCTCACTCGGTAGAGTGCGGTGCTGATAACACCAAGGCCACGGGTTCGGATCCTATATAGGGATGGCCGGTTTGCTCACTGGCTGAGCGTGGTGCTGACAACACCAAGCCAAGGGTTGAGATCCCCTTACTGGTCATCCTTATATAGGATAAAAATAAAAATAAAAATAAAAACATAAATAAAAAATAAAAAATAAAAAAAGATTATCAAAAGGGAGAGTCATTCTCTTAGAACTGTGAAGTTACTGTGCTAGTAACTTAATAGAGTGTGGTGCTGATAACACCAAGGCCACGGGTTCGGATCCTATATAGGGATGGCCGGTTTGCTCACTGGCTGAGCGTGGTGCTGACAACACCAAGCCAAGGGTTGAGATCCCCTTACTGGTCATCCTTATATAGGATAAAAATAAAAATAAAAATAAAAACATAAATAAAAAATAAAAAATAAAAAAAGATTATCAAAAGGGAGAGTCATTCTCTTAGAACTGTGAAGTTACTGTGCTAGTAACTTAATCTAGTAATTTAATCCAGTTTGGTCAGAAAGGGGTATCATACATTGGATATCTTCTGGGACACAGAAAAGTACTACTATCTTTTTTGCCCAAGTGATTGTCACTTGTATCTGTATGCATAATATGATTATTTCTATGAAGTCTACTGTACTTCAAGAAATTCATGGAAAAATTGAATTAAAAGATAATATGAATCCTTTATGAAGTTTTTGAAGACCCCTCATATATTTATACTGTACTCATATATGTGCTGTATATTATAGTAGGCTATACTGTAATACAGTTATTGGGTACCTAATTCAACTCCTTGCTAAAGGCAATGATAATAACAAAGTAAAACTATCTTCTCCTTTATTTTTTAAACATTAGGACTACAGTTTATGACAATTTTGTTTAAACTATCCTAACTGGATGAAAAGTAATAAAAAGAAGTAATGAAAAAAAATTCTCTGACACAATTTTGCTTTGACAGTGGCCTAACTGTAAGCATCATGTTCGTCATATACAAGCGTACTTACAGAGTCCCCTATAGATTTCTGTGCAACAGCTGTTTAAGAGTTTTACCTTGTAACTGACACTGTTAAAAGCTTCCAAATTCTGGGCCGGCCCGGTGGCGCACTGGAGAGTGCGCCGCTTGGGAGCGCAGCGGCGCTCCCGCAGAGGGTTTGGATCCCATGTGGAGACCGGTTCCCGGTCACTGGCTGAGCATGGTGCGGGCGCAACACTGAGGGTTGCGATCCCATTGCCGGTGCCCGGTACGGGCGCAACACCGAGGGTTGCGATCCCGAGGGTTGCGATCCCGTTACCGGTCAGTAAAAAAAAAAGACAAAAAGGAAAAAAAAAAAAAGCTTCCAAATTCTATCAGTAGTCATTCCCTTTTTTATCTGACAGTTTTCCTAGTTTGGTTTCCTTTAGAGAAGAGTCTTGGTTGTAAATGTGGTTTTATAATTACATAATTTGAGTGACATGGTTACTATGTTATAAATGAGCAATTTCCATTCTCCCTTATTTTAAGGATGTCAACACTAATAGATCTAAGACTGTCATTGGTTGGGTTGAGTGACGTTTATAATTGTGAATGTAAAATAGGAATAAATTCAATGGAATAGGATAAAGTGGGGGAAGGAACTTAAATTTTTCAAAATCCCATCATACCTCTGAAATATTCATAAATGAAATGATATGTCTAAATTTTTCATTAAAATAATCTGAGGTAGGGATGGAGGTGTTGATGAAATAGGATTACCTATGAAGGATAATTGCTGAAGCTATGTGTTAGGCATATGAGGGTTCATTATACTGTTGACTCTCTTTTTGTGTATACTTGAAAGTTTCTGTAATAAAAAGTCATCAGTTACCAACAGCAGTTTATATAAATGAGTCGGGAATTATGAGTTTCTAAAAAATATAACTTCAGGTAATATTCACAGGATGAGAAGAGTTTTGAAAATTAGTATTCACCAAAATTTAATAAGATGTGTAGTGAATAAAAGCAAGTTTCCTTTTCTTTTAAAGTAAGGCAAAATAGCTTTTCGTTCAGAGGACATTATTCTATTAATTATAGGGAGTTAAACTATGAAAGGATGCTGGTACCAAAAAAAACCCTAAAAATAATACACAAGCAAATATATCTTGTAGCAATAAAATTGCTCATATTAAGCAGCTTAGTAAAATGGAGTTATAATTTTTCCTCTGATTCATCACTAATTTTTATTCGACTTAAAACTTATTTCTTTCTGTGGTTTTTTTGCAGGGGGCAGAGAGGACATTCTAAAAATAAGGATATGTTGTTTAAAGTTCAGGGGCAAAAGAGACTTTATAAATTGTGGAAGTAAATCATGTTGAACTATATGAAGTCAGTGCTTTTGTAGGTCAAAAAAAGCCAAAAATCATCAGTTTTGTATGGTTCAACCTAAATACAATGTCCTTTTCAATCTTTGTTAACAAATAAAAATGGAAGTCCTGATTCTTAGGCTCCCATAAAATCTATATAGAGACTACCTTGGAAAACAAATGGAGCTTAAATGTGTGTGTTAGAGATAATCTTAACTGTAGTTTTGGAGTGAAAGCTTAAATTTAAAATAAATTTTTATAGCAGTCAGGATTAGTATCGCCTGGTCTGTTAAATCCTTATCTCATAACTGGACAGATTGAGAAAAAGGGAGTGTTAACAAATAGAGAATAATGGGGATGTCTGAATAGATGGGCTTGGGGATTATCTAAAAGTTTTTTTGTCATTCCAAAGAACTTTTAAATAAGTTCATGTGGATGCTATTTTAGGACTTCTGAGAAGTCAAGTCGGAGTCTTTTTCTATGTTGGGTCTAGTTGGTTTTTGTTGAAGTTCAGGTACTGTGACGGTTTCGGATTGAAAGTTTATTATCCCTGGAATAGCAGACAGTGTTGGCAGAGGAAGAACATAATTAAGGTGTTGACAGAAAATTCCAGTAATCTGAGAGAGGTTCACGAGCAAAGACCAGCCGAAAAGACTACTAGAGTTCCTAATACTTAGGTCTTTTAGAATTTCCAAAATTTTAATAGATTTGTTCTCTACCCTCTCCATTAGCAGAGCTCTCTCAGGCTTAGGCCTGTCCACTCCTCCCCTCTGTTTTACACTCGCTCCCAGGCTGTCCTCCAGCTCCGGGCCCCCGGCCCCCCGAGTCGTGCTCTAACTGCCTGAGGTTGGAAAGGCATGTGCACTCTGCATCAAACCCTGCACTCAGGTCCCACCTCCGTCACTTACAATCTAGAGAAAGTTATGTAACTTCTTAGCATTGAGTTATTATATATAAAACATTGAAAGTGGTGACTAGTGTGACACTGTAGTTATTATTACTGAAATCTCCATTTTGGATATGTATTAGACACCTCAAATTTAATACAAACAAAACACAGTTTTTTATTTTCTTCTCAACATGTTCTCCCGTCTGTCTTTGTCATATCAGTAACTGAAACCAGCACCTGCCCAGTTGCTTAGGCCAACAACTGAGATGTTTTCCGTGATTCTTTTTCTTCCCACTTCATCCTCCACAGCCAATCCATCTCCATCCTGTCATCAAAAACTATCTGAAATTTGTCCATTTCTCTCCATCTGTACTGCCACCCACCTATCAGAGTATGCTCATACTCCATGTAGACTGCCCAGGTGTTCCCAGCTGACCCCCTGCTCCAAACTTCATCTACACCAACCTTCTTTCAGCTCCTTGAACATGCCAAGCTCATTTGCTTATTAGGGCTGTTACCTTCTATCATTTACATCGTAGTTCAGAGATGACCTCCTCAAGGAGGCCTTTGTGACTACTCAGTTGAAAGTAACCATACCCCCAAGTCGCTATCTGTTGTAACATCAGTGTTTGCTTTTTTTTTTGTATTCCCTGTGTTTTTTTTGTTTTTCATAATTGCTTTTTGTTTTCCTGCCCCCTCCCCCAAACATGTCAGCTCCATGAGTATAGGCACTTTTGTAGCCTAAATCACCTGCTATGTATCTAAATGGGTTCTTTAACAGTGCCCGACATATAGTTTAACAAATATTTGTGGAATGAAAGCTAAATAACTTAGTGAACACTTTTGGAAGGTAGGCAGAGCAGGTGGTATTTTGCACATTTTAACATATAAGGGGTAAGAGCTCACATCTATTGTTACTTACCCATGTTCACAAAACTAATCAGTAACAGACGCAGAATTTGAACTCAGATTCTTTTTTGTTTCAATTTCCACTACATGTAGCTGGGAGCAGAAAAAATGGTTTCTAGCTGAACATGCCCAATGTGGCTCTTTGGAATTCTTTACATTTCATGTTTCAATAGGGCATTGAGAAAAGCTTGAAGAAGTGGCCAATAGGTTTGTGCTAAGAGATCTTTGACCTCCTCAGGGAGACCTTTGTGACCACCCAGTCAAAAGTAACCATACCCCAAGTCTTCTATGCTATGGTTCTATGAAAAACTGTATTTACTACTGTAGGGTATGTCTGCTGTGAGACTGGGCATAGCCCATGGTGCATACTGTGGTTGGTGGGAAGAACACAGGAAGCATGCTGTGAGTCTCAGTGGGGTGATGCACTGTGCCTGGCTCTTACTGGCAGGGCCCTGTGGATAGCACCAAGAGCAAACAGCCACCCACCCACAGCTCACAGTCTAAAGGCAAAGAGGGACCATATACACAAGTAACTAAAGAAGGCAGAATTTGTCACACCAAAAAGTTTGCAAGGGGGATATCCAAAAAAGAATACCAAGAGTGAAGAGATGAGAACAATAAATGACGAAGATTTTTAGTACTGCTCAACTGAGAAGAGTTTTGTTTATTTTTAGAAATGAAGGATCTTTAATAATTTTATTTCCACGGGGATGGAAACTAAGAGAAATTAATTTTGTGTGGGGCATAGAGAATTTATTTCTTTATGCAAAGTATTGGAACAGGCTACAAAGAAGAGTGTGTGGTTCTAGATATATGTCTATATCTGTGGTGTATGTAGAAATATACATATATAAATATATATACATATAAATTTAGGTGACAAAGAAGAGTGTGTGGTTCTAGACCTATTTCTGTGTGTCTCTGGAAGATAGGAGTGAAGCAGATGGGCTACATGTTCCTACTCTATGATATTTGGTACAAGTAGACATCAGTGGCTTAAGATCTGTGATGCTTCTTTGGGCTATTAAAGTGTTTGTTCACAGCATTATTTCTTCTTTTTTTTTTTTTCCTTTTTGTCTTTTTTACTGACCGATAACGGGATCGCAACCCTCGGTGTTGCGCCCGCACCACGCTCAGCCAGTGAGCGGGAACGGGTCTCCACATGGGATCCGAACCCTCGGCGGGAGCGCCACCGCGCTCCCAAGCGGCGCACTCTCCAGTGCGCCACCGGGCCGGCCCCACAGCATTATTTCTGATGGCTCTTTGCCATGAACCAGTTCTACTTGTTGATTTACAGAAAGAAAGAATGAGGCTCTGTGTGTGTGTGTGTGTGTGTGTGTGTGTGTGTGAGAGAGAGAGAGAGAGAGAGAGAGAGAGAGAGACAGCTTTAGAGTTCAGACTGAGGCAGCTGTTCAAATATTGCTTTTGAGTTTTTTAAATAATTCTTCTCATGTAAACATCAAAAAGTATAAAAGCATATGCAAGGTAAAGTCTGTCACCTGTTCTTGTCCCCTAATTACTTAGTTCTCATGATGTACCCTGTTTCTAAATTCTTATTTATCTTTCCAGAGCATTTTTAATGTGCAAACATGGCAACACACATACACCTGTACAACTTAGGTTCTGCACTGCTTCTTGGTACCTAGAATGGTGCTGGGTATGTAATAGGTACCCCCGAATCTTTGTTAGGTGGTAGTCAGAGTTTTTATACTTCTGTGTTTCCTAAAATTCACTAAGAAATACGTTTTGTTCTGTGAAGAAATAAATAATATGTAATGTTTTATTTTTTGTGTTTTTTGTTTGTTTTTAGCCCCGTGTGCTGTCAGGAATCTACAGGACTTGGCTCGTATCTACATTCGACGCACGCTTAGAAATTTCATAAATGATGAGATGCAGGCCAAGGGGATCCCTCAAAGGGCTCCACCCAGAAGAAAAAGAAAGAGAGTTAAACAGAGAATTAACACTTATGTATTTGTGGGTAATCAGCTCATTCCTCAGCCTCTAGACAGTGAGGAGGATGAAAAAATGGAAGAAGATAACAAAGAAGAGGAAGAGAAAGACCACAGTGAAGCCATGAAGACAGAGGAGCCACCTCAAAACTTACTGAGAGAAAAAATCATGAAGCTGCCCCTCCCTGAATCTTTGAAAGCTTACTTGACATATTTTAGAGACAAATAACTTAGGTCAAGAAGAAAGAATGCCTACTGATAATTTCTTTAGTCTTGAAAATGTAGTGTTTGTTAGAATTGAAAGAGAATTATTTCTTTCATCAGAGCGAATTATAGTGGAAAAAAGTATAACTTGTTTCTGTCAGTAACAAAAATGATGTATTAAAAAGTGATTAAAAAGAATCCCTTTTATAAAATCTATTTTTTTTTTAAATCTTGGAAAAATGCTATTTTAACTCAGAGTGATTTCAAAGTGGAATGCAACAATAATCAGGACTTGTGTACTATAAACCCTTTTCTGATTCCTCCCAGATTTGTAGTAGTGAGGGTTAGATTTAATTTTATATAAGGTTTGAATAATTGTTAAGCATATATAATCTGATTTGAATTGCGGTTGTTTGCATTTCCTGTATGAAAACTTTCTATCTGATAAGGAAATCCAATGCTTTGTAGACCTATTTACCTTACTTTTGTTGCAATCACTATTGCTGAGTTACTGTAGATGTGTTCCGGGCGATATATGAGTGCAATAACAATACAAGATACTGAATAATTTAGCTTTAAAAAAAAAAATCATGAAATTTTACAGCCCTGCTACTTTTGCTTTTGAATCTGTTGCCAAAAGACATGGGGAAAATACTGCTTCTCTCATAGAGATTTTAAGAGCATAGCAAGTGAATAAAGTAGGAAGAATATAATTAATACAACTCTTCATTTGTATGGACCCTTTACATTTTCAGTATTTAAGAATAATGAGGTTATTGTAATTCTCTAGAATTTTAAAAGATAGTGTATTTAGGATTGCTTTTTCTATAGTTCACTGTATAAAGTATTTGGTTTTTTAAAAATCCATCGTTCTGTGTGACTCTTGATAGCAGAGACAGCGAGTGAATAGGCATGGGTGACAGCCAGTTTCTTGGGTAGCTGTAAGGAACAGGGCCAGGGCAGACTTGGTCAGCAGATGCACTTTAGGAAATAGAACTTCTAGTTTATCTGAATATTTATCTCTGACAAGGTAGGGCCAAGCTTGCCTGCTTTTGCTTTGGATCTTTCTAGGATAAGAAATGTCTCCAGAAATTGTATGTAGCTGCCTTTTGCTTTGAAAATCCAGGTCAGAATTCTAGTTTAATCTTTGGGACCTATACCATGCTCATTTAATTTCTCATTTTTTTTTCTGTTTCTTTTGGTAAATTATAATGGGTTTTATTTTTTGCTTAATATCACATTCTTAAACTATCTATCATTTGAGTTTTGTTGTAGCTTATCAGTGATGAAGCAGGTAGTAAATGTTTTCCTAGTGAGGCCTGAAAACAGTCATTCCTGGTTAAGAAAGTGTACAACATAACATATTTACTACTTAGTGTCACATGGATTATATATTTTTTAAAGGGAAAAATCTGAGTGTATCACTTATTACCACCAGTATCACTGTTCAGTAGTTGCTCAGATTTGCTTAAGAAAACCCTATCAATGCAGTGTAGTGAAAGGATTATTATCTCTTTGCTAAGATTCAAATATTGTGTAAAAACTCTCAGTTCTGAAATCCCACAAATCCAAAAACAGGTGTTTGAAATAGTGTAAGCTTGAAATTGTCTCAAGTAATTGGGGATATTTTAGTAATGTGAAAAATAATTTCATAGAAGGTATTTGTTTTATACCAGTGTCCTGGGGGCGGGATGGGGATATCGCTACAATTTTTCTTAGATGATTACTAAGCTGTTATTAAATACCCCATCTTGTTTCTATCTAGGAAAGAAAAAAATGAGTGTCATTACTGTTGTCAACTTTAGAAATGTTCATTTTATTTTGAATTAACTGTTTGTTTTAGAAGTTTAATCTTGAATTTCTGCTGCCCACATATTTTTATGTAGAAAACCTGGGGAGAGTTATCTTATCTGCCCCACCCCCCTTCTCTTAGGAGCTGGTGTCCAGATATGTAAAGATACATATTCTTAAATGATTTTACTTTTTAGGAGAGAGTTTTTAATAAGGATATATATGAAGATTGACATTTTTCATATTGTCTTTCATAAGACCTTGGCAAATCCCCTTCTCTTAGGAGCTGGTGTCCAGATATGTAAAGATACATATTCTTAAATGATTTTACTATTTAGGAGAGAGTTTTTAATAAGGATATATATGAAGATTGACATTTTTCATATTGTCTTTCATAAGACCTTGGCAAATTATACAGTAGATTTTCATGATCATTGCATATTTTTTTGTCATTGAAATATATCTTTTGTGTTTTTAAATGCATTCATTTTATGGTTGTGACTTCATCATTGACTTTAAATAAAGAGGTAGAAATGAAAAATGAAAATTCAGGTTAAAGCCTTTTTATCTACTAATACAGGCATATCAGAATAAGAATATTGTGGGTTTGTGTTTATTTTTTAATGAATTTATGTTTACTTGAGTATGGAAAATTATGCTTTATAAGTGGAGAAGTAGCAAATAAAGATGAAGTAAGTGAAAATGATGGGAAATATAGTCATGGAATTTTACAGCCAGATGAAACAATAGATGTTGTCTAATTTAGACTTTTATTTTGCAGATGAGAAAATAGGCCTAGAGAGGTGGCAGGTTTTGCCTCAGTTCTACAGCTAGTTAGAGACAGGGCCTGCAGGGGCATCCAGCGTCAGGTAAATCCCAGGAATTTATCAACAACACCATAGCTACGAAGAAGGTAATTTAAACCTGTTCTGCTTATTGGTCGAAATACGAGTATTTGGTTCTAGTATTAATAAAGAAAAATGTTACTAAAATAGCATACATAGTGGTTACAATAAAAAGGTGTAAATGTTGATTTTTAGCTGTTGGAGATGATAAAAGTGACGCAAAGCCTGTTAAATCGTTGTAAGACTTGAAAAACTATTTTAAATAAACAGTTGCATATAATTAAGCATTATTCTCCAGTGGCCTGGCTTTTCTTTTTCTCTTCTTTTTTAATTTAGACAGTTGTTAAGACACCTATGGACAGATGTGGAATTATGGTATACAGTTGGCTCTGTTTGGACATTTCACTTCCTTTTGACTATTTCCATTTCTGAAGAGTATAGAGTTTTCTAAAAATTTATTTTTATAAACTATTCAGTACATATGAAGAATATTTATAAAATATATGCAAAGTACAAGGAATAATTCAGTGTACATGTAGGTACATGTGTGTACCTGCTATTAGGTTCAACTACTAGCATGACTGTCACCCATGGGCCCCTTCCTAGTCCTTCATTTCTCAGGGGTAATTTTTATCCCTTCTCATTCTTACCCCTTATGTCATCTTAATCCCTCCCTTCTCAGGCATAACTCTTCTGTGTTTATCATGATCTTGCTCTTTGCTGTCGTTTTACCACATGCACTTGCATCTCTAAACAATATATTAGTTGGCTTCAGACATGCTGGAATCATACTTGCATGCATTCTTCTGCAGCTCGCTTGTTCACACCACGTTACCTTTCTGAGATTGATCCATGTTGTATATAGTTATCTTACATTCACAGTTTATAATTTAATTATTCCTTCTACCATTAATGGACATTTCTTGTTCCCTCACAGAGTTCAGTTGTGAACATTCTGTGTGTTTTGTAGTGTACATGTGTCTTCTTACGGTGTCATTCTGGGAGTAGAATTGTTAGGTCTTAGAATATGTTTATATTTACTTTTACCTAGATGGTACAAATTTGTTTTCTCATTTAACAATGTATGTTCCTTCCAGCAGTGTTTAAATGTTCTAGTTAATCTACATCCTCACCTACACTTGACCGTGATTTTTGCCTGTTTGGTTGTGTGAAGGATCTTATAGGGATTTTGTTAGTTGTTAAGGTTTTCTTAATCTTTTCAAGGGTTTCTTGGTTTTAGTTATCCTTTGTAAAGTGCCATTTAAGTCTTCTGTACAATTTTTGTTGGGTGACTTCTTTTTAAAAGTTGATTTATATTATATTATTAATCCATTAATATTAATGGATACTAACTCTTTGTCAGTGTATGTGATATCTTGATCTAGAAAGATAAGTCCCTTTAACTCATTCCAGGAGTTTCTTGGCTATCCATGGACCTGTAGACTTTTAAATAACTTTTAGGATCAGCTTCTCAGATTACGCACATGCATACATGCACACACACACACTCCTTTTGGGATTTCCTTAGGAACCACATTGAATTTATAAATCAGTTTGTTCAGGAATTAACATGTTTATGAATGCTGTGGAGTCCACCAGACATGAATGCGGACTACTACTTTTAGTTGGGTCTTATTTAATGTCTTAATAGTTACACAATTTGGATCAAAGATCTAACATGTTTTGTTAAATTTCTTTGTAGATATTTTATATTTTTCAATGCTGTTGTATATTCTGTTTATTAAAATTATAAATTACTCTATTGATTTTGTACATAAATTCAGTACTGTCTCTTACAATTCTCCATTTTCCACATAAACAATCATATCTTTAGATAAGTTTTAGCTTTATTTTCTCTTGTGGGTTTTACTTTTATTATTTTGCCAGATGTGCTGGTTGGGGCCTCCAGTATAGTGCTTAAATATAAGTGATAACGAGCAGCCTTATTTCTTGTTTTATTTCCCATATATAGTCGTTTTTTAATAAATGACTTGGTGTGTTTAAGAAGACTATATATTCTGCAATTGTTTAATGTAATTTTCTATTAATGTCAATTGAATATGTTTTTAAATTGTGTTGTTCGAATCCAATATAGCCTAAGTAAATCTGTGTTTGTGTTGCCGGCGTCGTCTGTCAGTCGCTGAGAGAGATTTGGCAAAGTCGTTCACTTCGATGATGGAATGTCAGCTCTTAAAGTTCTTCCAATTTTTGCTTTGTTTATTTTCATGTGATGATACTAGGATTGTTGTGTCTGGTGATTTGAATCTTTAGCATAATGTAGGAACCCTTTTTAATACTTTTTGCTTCAAAGTCTATTTTGTCTTGATGTTCATGTAGCAGTTTTCATTTGGTTAGTTGTCACCTAATGTATCTTTTTCTGTTCTTTTTATTTTCAACCTTTTCTGTATCCTTAGGTTTTAGGTGCATTTCTTATAAACAACATGTAACTGAGTTTCTTAATTTATTCTGGCAATCTTTGAATTTTACTTGAAGCATTCCATCCATTTTACATTCATTTTAAATATTACTGTAGAAGGGTATTTTGTGCTACACTTCTTTTTTTTTCTTTTGTTTCTCCTTTTTTTTTTTTTGGTCTATTAGTTTGGAAGTTATACACTTCGTAGAAGGGTATTTTGTGCTACACTTCTTTTTTTTTCTTTTGTTTCTCCTTTTTTTTTTTTTTTTGGTCTATTAGTTTGGAAGTTATACACTTTCCCCCCTGCTCTTAGTTATTACTGTTGACATTTTAATGCACTCACCTAATTTATCAAAGCCTAAGTTAGTTACTTCCCTGTCCTTCTCCTAAGTAATACAATGTACTTTAGAACACTTTATGAAGTCATCACCTCAAAAATCATATGCTAGAGTATCATGCGTTGTAATTCTAAAATTTTAAGCCTTGGTAGTATACTGTGACTATTGTTCATCTAACCAATGCTTAAGTAGCTCTACTCCCAGCTGCACATTTTTTGCTCATTATTTTTTTCTTCATCTTAGAGAATTCCAACTTTTTTTGCCTAACGTACATCATTCTGAATTTCTTTTAGTTAAAGACAGTAGGTGGCTATAAAGCTAGGGCTTATAGACCCCTCGAGTCTGTTGCACAGAGTGGGTCACAAACCCTTCACATGCAGGTCTGTGAGCTAGGTAATAAGAAAAAAAAAGTTTCTGGGAGCTGTGGGTATAGAAAAATGAATGGGTTTTATTCAGATCTAGGAGCAACCATCCTAGTGGCTTCTCTGAGAGTTCTGAGAAGCACTGCGG